ACATTACAAATGTTCATCTGTTAATGCTGATCTGTAATGAGATTTACATATTTCATATTTGACAGTGCCTTTTCACAAAGATGGATACTGCCAATACTGATATCAATCCCTGAGCACCTAATTTTATTTTTTTATTTTTTATTTTTTTCAATATATGAAGTTTTTGGTCAAATTGGTTTCCATACAACACCCAGTGCTCATCCCAACAGGTGCTCTCCTCAATACCCATCACCTACCCTACCCTCCCTCCCATCCCCATCCCCCCTCAGATTGTTCTCAGTTTTTAAGAGTCTCTTATGCTTTGGCTCTCTCCCACTCTAACCATTTTTTTTTCCTTCCCCTCCCGCATGGGTTTCTGTTAAGTTTCTCAGGATCCACATACGAGTGAAACCATATGGTATCTTTCTCTGTATGGCTTATTTCACTTAGCATAACACTCTCCAGTTCCATCCACGTTGCTACAAAGGGCCATATTTCATTCTTTCTCACTGCCACGTAGTACTCCATTGTGTATATAAACCACAATTTATCCATTCATCAGTTGATGGACATTTAGGCTCTTTCCATAATTTGGCTATTGAGAGTGCTGCTATAAACATTGGGGTACAAGTGCCCCTACGCATCAGTACTCCTGTATCCCTTGGGTAAATTCCTAGCAGTGCTACTGCTGGGTCATAGGGTAGGTCTATTTTTAATTTTTTGAGGAACCTCCACACTCTGTTTTCCAGAGTGGCTGCACCAGTTTGCATTCCTACCAACAGTGCAAGAGGGTTCCTGTTTCTCCACATCCTCTCCAGCATTTCAATCAGTCTCCTGATTTGTTCATTTTGGCCACTCTGACTGGCGTGAGCCTGAGCACCTAATTTTGAGTATATTAATTACTGGGAAGACATTTATAGAATTCTATTAAATTCTTCAATATTTGCCTTTTTAGCATGTCATTACTTTACAGACTAATCACTTGCAATTGAAGGTTAGGTGGAAGCTCTTAGGTCACACAGTTAAATAAATTTTGAAATATGGAAATTTCCTTTGCACTGGTATTCAGATCTGAAAAAGTGCTGCTGAAACTTTAGTGTGAGCTCACGAAACGTGCTGGAAAGATGTGTGGGAACGGAGGGCTTCTCATTTGAACTTTTGACGGCACAACCAGTATATAAAGTGGCTTAATATCACAATTGCCTCTTGAACAACACAGATTTGAACTGTGCAGGTCCACTTATATGCAGATTTTTTATAGTACAGTACTGTGAATGTATTTTCTCTTATGTTTTTTAAAAATTTAAATTCTAGTTAACTTCACCTCAGTATGCTTCCCACATGAGCACTGTTTGGCCTTTCAATTTTAGGTTAAACTCATTAAGAATGATCTGCTGTAAAATTAATGTCCAGGGGCACCTGGGTGGCTCCGTCGGTTAAGGGTCCCACTTCGGCTCAGGTCATGATCTCACAGTTCATGGGTTCGAGCTCCACGTTGGATTCTGTGCTGACAGCTCAGAGCCTGGAGCCTGCTTCGGATTCTCTGTCCCCCTCTCTCTCTGCCCTTCCCCCACTCACATTCTGTCTCTTTCCTCTTTCTCTCTCAAAAATAAACATTAAAAAAAAAAAAAAAAAGCTAACGTCCAAAGCCATTCAGTATGTAATAACAATGGTTAAGGATGGTTGCTTTCATTCAGAAAAAATTGAATTTTGGTCCCAAGCTAAAAAAATTTGCAATAAAACGTTATCGCTGCTAAGTCATTGAACCGTGGCTTGGGAGAGCAAGTCAGGATATTCCGCCTCTATTTCTGACAAAAACTCTCAAAACTAATGATGGTTAAGTCCATGAGAATAAGTGAAGTTCAGTGCTGACCTCACCAGTTCTGTAACACATGACAGATTCAAGTATTTTGTGCAAAGTACCTGCTGATGAATCATAACTTGTCTACGCCTTGTTCTGTCCCACATCTACCTTTACTGTCAGTGATAACACATCTTAGCTGATTCCATCTCAAGTTGTACTGAAATAGTGTTTTCTCATCTTCTCTGAAAATATCCTCTTCTGTAGTTGTTTAATGGAGACTGTTCACAGAGGCTACATTTTCAGTCAAACTTGGTGCTGACTTCTTGAATAAACAGCAACTCAACAGTATGGGTAACATCTGTTTACTCATCAAGAACCAAGGAAAATCACTCAAAATCATCTGCATTGTTTTTAAATGACTATCAACATTGCTCCAATGTCCTTAACTCTGAGCAACTGTTCTCAATGAAAGACTGTTAGTCTTAAGCAAGTTTATTTTCTGGACACATTTCTTTGGCTGCTTCAATTAAACACAACTAATTCACAAGTAGCAAATGACTTTTCCTGCCTGGATAACAAACGAGCCACTCAGAAACTTTGGTTGCAGCTTCATTTTCATTTCATTCAATTGTGAGAATGATAGATATCATTAAAAAATACCTAATTTTCCTGACCACTGCTTTCCTGTGTGAGGGATACTGTGACAAGTGCTCAGTCTGATAATGCCAGAACATTCTGCATTATTTTGGCAGAGCTACAGTGTTAGTCTATAATAATTTATTATTAATGTTTTGCCACCTAATTTGGTTAAAATAATCCACACTCCACTATGCCCTAAAAGCATGACGTTCAAAATTCACTTTTCTCTCTCTTCTTGTTTTTGTTTGATGAGTATACACTGGTAAAAAAATGAATTTTTTCAACCATTTAAAAAACATTCTTAGCTTGTAGGCCATACAAAACAGATGATGGGCCACATTTTGACTGTAGGGTGTAATTTGCTGACTCTTGATCCAATGTATTGATTTAAAACAAATACATCTTATTAGTTCTGTTTCTCTATTGTCTAACTCATTAATTCCTGGCTGTCAGGAATTTATAATTCTTATGCTTTCCTTTGGTTATTTTTCTAATTAAAAAAAACCTATATTTAATTCATTTTCGACATTTCATTTTTCATTGAAGTATTTAGGGCTATGACTTTTCTTCTGAGGACTACTCTAGCTATATTCCATAGATGTAAATATTCAGAGTTTTTATTGTTTTCTAGAAATTCTGCAATTTTGGTTTGTAGTTCCCCTTTGCCCAAAGATTATTTTTGATTTTTAAAAAAATTCCACAACATAAGGACAATTTCATTTTCTGGTTTCATTATTTTGTTATGAATACCCAATCTTATTGTATTTTCAGAGAATGAAATCTGTATTATTTATACCTCTGGAATTTATCAAAGTTCACTTTTCATCCACTGAAATGGTCAATTTTCATGAATACTAGAAAGATGGCATATTCTATTACCAGGTATAGAATTTGATATATTTGTCAGATCTACCTGACTGATCATGTAGTATGGGTCTTTGTTATCTTCATTTGTTTTGTGTTTTGTTGTTGTTTGGTTTTTTGGTCCACTCAATTTGTCTTAGGCCGACGGAAGTGAATTCATTCGTCTCCTAGTATTAAGGTAATTCTACATATTTCTCCATGTATCTCTTGTCATTTTTGCTTTATGAAAGATGCCGTTATTAGGTGCAATATTTATTCATAACTATCATCACTTCCTTGAGAATTAGTCATCAGGATTATAAAATGAATTTCTTTGTCTTGCTTATGCTTTTTGCCTTGAATTCTACCTTGCTTCACTAAGATCATGAATTCTGCTTTCTTTTTATTTCCATTTGCCTGGTATGCGTTGCCCAACCTTTTATTTTTGACCTTAATCTGTTTTAGATGTCTCTTGTGTATAGCATATACCTAATACAGCATTAGGTTTTGTCTAGGATCCAATCTGAACACCTTTTTAATAAGTGAGATAAAAGCCTCTTTACATTTCCTTAGTGTGGCTGTATGTAGAGACTTAGTTTAGTTCTCTCATATTATTTGCTCTTTACTAAAAAATTAATTTTAGTTGACACTTTTTGTGTTTTTGATTTAGTGGTTTTCTTTATACTTCTACCTTTATGTAGCATTTTTGCACCTTATTTCTTTGGACAGTATCTGCTTCTCCTTTATGTATAGCATTAGCTTGTATCTCTTCTTCCTCCATATCTCCCACTACCCAATTTTAGGCAATATTACTATCCTTTACTTTTGGACTTTTAGGTATACTTAAAATTCTACTACTTGATTTGTCAGTTTTAAATTATGTCCTTTGATTCTTATTATATAGGGAGCTTATTCTACATTCTACCTTCTCTCCTTTTACTTATTTTTGTTAGATACATTGTTTCTACACAGAGTATAAAATGTTTAGGTATTATTCTGTCACACTTATTCCACCTTTGTAATGCTAGCCCTTTTGCTGACATTTCCCCCTAATTACTTGGTTGACTGAAACTTGCCCTCACATCTGATTAATAGTTTTAGTTGATGTAGAACTTTAGGTTCAAAATCAGACCAAACTAGGGGGCTGCCAATCTAGGGCACCAATCCCTATGTAGGAACACCATCATTTCCCAGGCACAGTACTCAATTTGTTTAGACTTTTCTTTCAGCACTGGGAACAAGTTCTACAGCTGCACAAACAGGAAGAGAAAGTGGGGTGAGAACAGGGCATAAGCTTGATTTCTTTCCACTCTTGTTGTCCTCATGAGCTCCTCTCCTTATGGGATTTTCTCCTTAGCTGTCCTTTGAAGAATGAGCTCCCACCTCTACCTCAGCCTTTGACTATGCGTGGTCTTGTCTGTAGTGCTTTGCAGTATTGTTCCACTTGCCTTCTATCTTTTAGAACTTCAAAGTATATAATTCACTAATATGGTCCTCCATCCCCATTCTCAATGCCTTTATCCCTTTTTCTATCCTTAGAGTTATTTCAATGGTATTTGAGGAGAAGAATGCTCAGTTGCCATTTTGAATTGGAAGCTAAATTTCCAACATTCTAGGTAGGAGCTCACCACTGATTGATCAGAGAAGGCATTTCCACTGCAGAAGATCCATAGTCTATTACTACATGGTTTCCCAAAATAAATATTTTCCATTATGGACTACTAATTCATGTTAATTTATAGTTTTCAAAAACGGCAGCATTTTATTTTTTACCACAGTTAATTGGCTCCAAATAGTCAAGAGTTGACAGTATATTGAAAAACAACCTTATAAACTGTAAAGCACAGTATAAATCATTAGGAGTAAAAAGCATAGGGATGAAGGACATGTGTCTGCTCTGAACTACAGGAATCATTTTCCCTCTGAACTCCCATTTCTTTGGCTATAAAATGAGCACAATGAGATGAAAGCTCTTTTACATTTAACAAGCTATGAATCTGCATTTTTAAACGATTTTGTCAAGTTCGCACTGACCTCAGTAAGAAAACATGTAACGTAAGAAATGGGTACAAAGTAAAGAAAATAAACAGTATGTTTTTCATTCTCTGTAGGTTTATGAAGGTCATCCTAAAAGAAATAGTGGTAGCATTCAGGAGCAAAAGAAGCCTCCTTAATTTTGATTACAATCCATTCCAGTTCAGTAAATTTCTTTGCTAAGACCACCAACCCTCCAGAATCTCCAGTCTCAGAAGTTCACCTCAGGCATTCAGAGGAGATATGACAGTAAGCAGGAGGCCCAGGGATGAGAGATTTGCTCATCAAAGGAAGAGAAAGATCAAAAGCAACTTGAATGAACACATTTGTCTAGAGGCAGGGAGGCAGGTAGGATAGCTGCTGGGCCTAGCAAGTGGTCAGGGGGCAGTGAAGTGGACATTGTAATTGGTCTGCTAGTCAGGAGTTCCTCTTCTCTTCATAACTCTCCTTATTTCTGTTTAGGTAACTATACTTCCCCAGGGTAGCACATGTACTTTGGGAGAAGCCAAGTCCATCACGGGCTCTAGAAGTGAGGCCTAAGTGAACCATAATCCCACTCAAAAGACAGAGTTTTAAAAGATGGGCATGTAACTTAGTTAGGACCAATGGGACACAAAGAACAGTTCTGGGGGAATATCTGAAAAGCTCCCATGTCTCTACAAGGAGGAGAACAAAGCACATGTACTTCCACGAGTCTGCCTTAAGATAAAGCTGATGCCATCTGGGAAGCCAAATCGAGGGATGTGAGCAAGCAGATCTTTGTAGTATGGAGCATGTAGGACATACTCACCCTAAAACTGCCATACTACCTCCAAATGTCCCATTGAAGTGTATCTACCCAGGACTTTTTCCCTCCTGCAACCAGAAACATCTTAATAAGCCAGAAAGGCAAAGACTCCTGATTCATCACACTTGGAAATATTCAACAGATGAAGTTACTAAGGTTAAATTCATATTCTCTCTTTTTTTTCTTTTAAGTAGGCTCCACGCCCAGCACAGAGCAATGTAGGGCTCAGTCTCATGACCCTGAGATCAATACCTGAGCTGAGATCAGGAGTCAGACGCTTAACCAACTGAGCCACTGAGGCACCCCTAAATTCATATTCTTAACAGAAGTCATTGTTGTATATATACAAACAAGGCTGCAAGTACTCATGAGCCAAGTTATACAAGCAGAAACCCTTGATGTATAATCTTGGAAGAAATCTTGTTAAAAAACTATATACGGGTAGATACACAGAGCAGTTTGATCAGGACAGTCACAGTTCACACATTTTCCTGGCATCATTATTAACAGAAGCCCATCACTCTGAAGTGTCCCAATGTATACATTTACCCTGACTCTAAAGCATGGTTTTTTTTTTTGGATTTATATAGTATTATCTTCAGGAAAATACAATAATCCAAGGAAATGACTAGAGACCTCTACAAGTAAAATGATTCAATCTTTAGGACCTGTGCCTGGTTTAGGAAAAGAGTGGTACTAGGAAAAATGTCTGTGCCTGTGAAGAATTAATAATCACTTTCTGGGGGTCATTTTTATTGTAATTACATTATTGCAATTTCCTTCTACGGAACTGATGCTATGAGGATGAATACTCAGGGGTCACAGGGACCCTCATTTATAAGGAGATGACACAATTTTTATGAAGGTATAGTAGGGAGCAAGACTTGAAAGCATTGGCAGGTTCTAAAATATGTAGATATTTCTTCTATTATCTGCCACCATGTCTAAAATACCTCTGTACTCCAAACTCCTTTATCTGGGTTCTAATTTCTCCTTTAGTCCTCTATTAAACTGGACGCATACCACACTACCCATTAATGATGATACCTGATCAGAAGGGGGCTGGCATTGGCATTTGGAAACAGGGACCCCAGGACCAGAGCAAGATGGAGTTAAGAAAGGATGAGAAGTACGTGGTGTTCAACAAGAGGCTGAAAAGTCAGGCTCTGCTTGGGGCATCCACGGCCCTTCTTACTTAAGCAACACCTGTCATTTGCACCTTTGTTTTCCTCCACAGATAATTCTGCCTTAGAAGTCATAAAAGCTTAAAAAAAACGTAGCTAATGCTTATTATTGCTTTAGTACTGTTTTCAAAGACACACCTGTGTTCATTTGGCTTTATGATGCTGTGATTTTTGTCCAAACGCGCACACTGATTAGATAAACAAGGTTCAGAGGTAAAAGGCAACCAGATAGCCTTTTCCCAGAAAACATCCACGCACTTTCAGCGCCTTTCTGCACAGATGAGGTAGGGCTGGGGTTGCAATGTCATGCCTAATCTGGGCTTCAGATCTGGAACCAGTTCATGTGGAAAATGCAGGTGAAACCTCTGAAGCAATGTTGTAAAAAACAGGAACATTTCCATCCGAGCCAGCTGTTCTCCAAGACAGTGTCTTCTCCCTAAAAACAAAACAAAACAAAGCAAAACAAAACAACAAAACATATTTTTTTAAAACTCCACAATATTGGGGTGCCTGGGTGGCTCAGTTGGTTAAGTGTCCCACTTCAGCTCAGTGAGTTCGAGCCCCTCGCCGGGCTCTGTGCTGACAGCTCGGAGCCTGGAGCCTGCTTCAGATTCTGTGTCTCCGTCTCTCTCTGCCCCTCCCCTGCTCATGTTCTGTCTCTCTCTCTCGCTCTCTCTCAAAAATAAATAAACATTAAAAAAATCCACAATATTTACCAAAATTTGTATCTAATATGTGGCTACCGTTAAGGAAATCTGGAATTTAAAGAAAGTTATGTTTATTAAAAAGAATAAAAACTGGCACTTCAGTTCTCAGAGCCCATTTCTTTACCTTCTTTTGTCAGATCGTGGACTTCTGTAAGTTTATGAATCCCCTTCCACACTTCCCTTTCATGTTGCAACACAGCCCAAGATACACCATGAAAGACTGAATTTGAGGTATGGCATTTTGTTCTCTAGATCCAGGAGAAACTCATTTCATTTCAAATGACTGAATGTTAACCCTTCCCCAATTAAAGGAAGAGTTTTCAGTCCATTTTCCATGGATCTTGTGATCTGTGTATTTTTTCACAGCAGAAGCCGTATTTTTGGAGATGAGGTATAATAAACTAGGAGCCAAGAGAGCTGTGTTTTCATTTTACTTCAAATTATGGTGTCATTTCTTCCCCTGGGTCTCAGTTTCTCAAGCTACCTGTTACGGACTTCTAGCTCTGTAGGTTTTGCTTACAAGCCAAAATCCACAAGCAAAAAAGTTTCAGAAGAAGCCAGAGCTTCTCAACAGTTTCTTTCTAGTTACAAAATTAAGTGTTGAGTAGAAACATTAAATTAAACCATTCTCTCCTGTAAGAATCAATGTTGTGTTTCTGGTGTTGGAATCTTTAATTCTACAATGGAATGCTTCAGATTAAGATGTCATACATGAGCAACCGTCATTACACTCTGTCCTGAAGTTATGCCCCAGTGAAAGTTCTCTTACCCAAGGAAAAAGGAACCAAAGCTTCTTTCTTGGCAAAATAGCCACTGCTGTCCAGAAAACGCTCAGGATAGAATATTTCTGGGTTTCTCCAGTACTTTTCATCAAAGTGTACAGAATAAAGATTGGTAATTACTGTCGTGCCTTTAGGAATGGAATAACCGCGTACGACTGCATCTTCAGAGGTTGCGTGGAAAATCCCTAATGGCACTATATTACAGAATCTTAAAACTTCATGCAAAACTGCCTCGGTATAAGGCATTTTGCATTTGTCATCCCAAGAAGGCTTCCCAGTGGGTCCCATAATTAAATCGATCTCTTTCTGAACTTGTCCTGTCAGAGGAAAAGTGTTCAAGTTATTATGCAATTCTTAGAATTATAGCCAAAGTAATTTCTCTTTGGGACAAAACAAAGGATAACCTATAATAAGTCAACAGGGTATGGGGACAACCAGGTTCAGATTTTTCATCATCTGGGAGTTCTATTTGACTATATGCCATATATTGTGTGCTACCAGAAACCAATGCTCTGAGTAACTTTGTTGTGAAAAACACACTGAAAGTAATAAAAAATTAACAATCGAAAGTAAGACAAATAAAAATTAAACAACCCTACAATTGGAATAACATCACTCTCAGCCAGGGAAATAGTGAAACATAAAATCTGACTTGAAGAAACTGGCGTTCAGGTCCCAGCTCTGCCACTTCTAGTGGCTGAACTTGGGCAAGGCAGCCATTTAGACTTTTCCCTCATTTACAAAATAGGTGTAATAAGACCTATCTGAGGTTTTTACATGACTTGGGAGAACAGATGTGTGAAACTCTTTACAACTATTAAATATTTTTCTTCTCGGCTAGTACAGGAGAAATTCCCAAATAAAATGCTTTGTACACAGCCAAAGACTCTAAGACATGTGTGAGTCCTAAATGTAAGGACAGCCCTATATGGTCAACAGAATCCTCACCTTGAATGTTAGGATAAAGGGCCATGAAAAGAATTGCCCACCGTAGCACATTGGTTGTAGTTTCGGTTCCAGCAATGATGAGTTCACCCACGGAAAAAATAAGATTTTCTCTGGAGAAAGTAGATGATGGGTCATTTTTACCTTGATCCATCTCATCCAAATAAGCATCAACGAAATGCTGAGGTAACTGAGGCTTTCTGTTGATGGAAGCTTTTTCAATAAGCCTGGAGAGAAAATCATAGACCACAGCTGCATTTCTAAATAGCTGTTGATGTTTTCCAAAAGGTAAGATGCCAATCCATGGAAAGGCATTATACAGGAAGACGGAGGCACTGGCAGCCAGTTCCACATTTTCACTGAATAACTCAATCATGTGCTGAAAATCAGTGTCTTCATAAGTGAATCGTTCTCCAAAAATGATCAGATTGGTTATGTTTGAAACAGCATTTGTTATTAATTGTTTCAAGTCAAAAGGTCTACCTTTGTATGTTTCAATAACATCAATAAAAAATTTGGTTTCTTCTAAGATTTTAGATTCAAAAGACTTTTGACCATATCCAAAATAGCGAAAGCTATTTACAGCTAATCTTCTGTGATCAATCCATCCTCGACCATATCTGGAATTAAGTAAGCCTGAAAAAAACAAAAGTATTAAAAAATTTGATCATCCCAGCATTCCTGTATCTAACACCTGGAAACGCTCTGGAGTAAAAAAGAGTGGTCAGTCATTCTTCTCCAATTCTCTTTCTATAAACCTAGTGGTTTTAAGCCCTGTTCTCTGCTACTCATTAGCCACAGAATACTGTCAACAGATAAAGCTTGTCTACTTTTTATCTGGGGACAGGCAGAAAAGACCTATAATTCTCCCACCACATGAAACTGGACAGTCTTATGTAATTCATCCTGGGTGAACTAGACCTGTATTCTCTAACTATTACTATACCCCTCATCTATAAACGACAAATCACTGCATGTTCCATGGGCAAAATTTTATCTTGGACTAAACAAAGAGCTGAAAATCATCCTTCAAGGATTAGGAATCTTCTGCATTAAGAGTCTAGGTTTTAGAATACAGACATCCTCCTGTTAAAAGCTTATGTTACACAAGGTAACTCTTGAAGAGGCCAAGGAAAGCTCAATGAGGCATCAATGTGGTGGAAATACTCAAGCCTAAAGGAGGATACCAAGAACTGAATGTTTGTGTCCCCACAGAATCCATATGTTGAAGCCTAACCCCCAGTGTGATGGTATTAGGAGGTTGGGCCTTTGGGGAGGTGATGAGGTCATGAGGGTGGAGCCTCATGAACTGGATTAGTGCCCTTACAAGAAACACAAGAAGAGATGATTGTTCTCAGCTATTCGAGAATACAGGGAGAAGGCATCTGTCTACAAGTCAGGAAGCAGGCTCTTCCGAGACACCAGATCTCCTGGCACCTTGATCTTGGATTTCCCAGCCTCCAGACCTGTGAGAATAAATGTTTTTTGTTTATGATACTAAGTCTATATGGTGTTTTTATTAAAGCAGCCCAAATGAGGACAGAGGGACAGAGGGCAAACATGAAACTCAAACTTCCAATGTTGATATTGCTTGCCTTAAAATTTCAGTCTTCACAGCATACTCTGCTCTTCTCATGTTGCTACTAGGGAATATATTCCCTTTAACTATCAAGATGCACCCCTACATTTACTGTAGTATTTACAATAGCCAAGATATGGAAGTAACCCACGTGTCCACTGATGGATGAATGGATAAAGAAGATGTGGTATATATACAAGGGAATATAATCAGCCATAAAAAAAAAAAAAGAATGAAATCTTGCCATTTGCAACATGGATGGATCTAGAGGGTACTATGAAAGTAAAATAAGTCAGTCTGAGAAAGACAAATACCATATGATTTCACTGATATGTAGAATTTAAGAAACAAAACAAAGAAAAAAGAGACAAACAATAAAACAGACTCTAAAATATGGAGAACAAACTGGTGGATGTCAGAGGGGAGGTGGGTGGGAGGGATGGGTGAAATAGGTGAAGGGGATTAAGAGTACACTTATGATGATGAGCACTGAGTAATGTACAGAATTGTTGAATCACTATATTGTACACCTGAAACTAATATAACACTGTAGTTATAAAATAACTGTAGTTAATTATACTTGAATTTAAAAGGTGATTTGCAAAAAGTTAAAAAAAATAAGTTGCCTATCAAGAGGAAAACATCTTTAGCATATACATTTATGTAACATGTGCTTTATTTAAAATTTCATTCATAGCTGGTACATACATGTACCTAATACAAAAAATGTCACATTCTCCTGTACATGAGGTACCTATGAAATTTACATTTCAGCAACAGTTTTTGAATTTGGAGCTTATAATAACATTAACCATACATAAGGGGTCTGAAGTGCTATGTAATAATCTTACGTTCCCATAGTTGTCTTTTCTATGTTTCCAGATGACTGTTCATTCAACAAATACTCATTCAACATGTATTTATAGAGACCTACTGTGTTCCAGGCAGTGTGCTAGGTAACAGACCTAGCAGTAAACGGAAGAGGCAGAGATCCCTACTCCTCTGGACCTTACATACTAGTGAGGAGAGGCAAACAAACAAATTATACAGCAAAGATGGAGACACAGGGTGGTCAGGGAAAGCCTCACTGAGAAAGTGACGTAAGTAAAGATATAGGACACGAGAGAGTGAGCCAAGCAGATATCCAGGGAAAGATCACTGCTCTAGAGGGAACAGCTAGTGCAAAGGCACTGGGATGAGAGCAAGCCCTAGAGAGATGTATGCATATGGGACACATGTACAAGAAGGTTCAGAGGAGCCTTGTTATAACTCTACACTGGACAAGCATAGGCTGAGCCCACCTACCGGGCAACTTTCACTCAAAGAGTGGGCTAATGGTGGCGCTCATTTCCCAGTTTCAAATTCAGTGCATATGTATCTTAAAATAACACATAATTTTCTACTTCTGTTTGTCTTCCTGTTTTTTGGAAACATCAAGTTGAATGCTTATTTTAACTTTCTTTATAATAAAAACAGTCCAAACTATAAATCTATAGCTTTGAAAAATATATAGTATTATACTTTATCCCAAATACTGCTCTGCTAACATCATCTTTCATTTTCACAATTTCCTTAAAGGTCTCCTATTATAATTGTGGTATAATTTCTTCTTTGGCCTAATTATTATTGAGAAGAGTATTTAAGAGGCTGGAAATTTGTGTTTTATTTATTTTATTGCTTTCAAATATCATTATACTCTGGCCTGAGAATTTGTCCTTTACAACTGGTATTTTCTTTGCATTAGTTTTTTTGTTTTGTGATTTAATATATGGTTAATTTTTATTTTCTTTTCAATGTCTTTATTTTTAGTCTATGTAAGCAAAATATTGTTACATTTTTCTTTGAAATTAAGTGTGAAGCTCTCATTAAACTAGAGAATATCGGACACCATTATTGTATAACTCTTAGACTATTAAGTATTAAAACCACTGTATCTAACTTCAACATTCTAGTTTAGGCTTTCTGCTCACGAACCTATTAACTTTCAGCCTTTCTCTCTTGTTGAATATGGAATCACCCAACACTGATCAACACTAAATCAAACAGAAGCTAGTCCTTTACATAAATCCCACAATTCTTCATTTACGTGTCATTAACTACATATGTAGTTAAGAAAGGCTGCTTCATATTCTACAAGCAAAATGACAGTAAAAATGTCATCAAGTATTCAAGAACAGGCTTTAAAAAATACTTTTGATTCACGTGTGCATGCACATATGTGTATTCCTAACATGTTTGAAAAACTTGAAGCTATTATTAAATGTTAATTCTTTAAAACATTATTTATAATATTACAGACTGGATTACTACAATAGAATCAGCATGAATTGGTCTAGGTCTAAAATGAGTCGCTTGTAGACAGCAAATAGATGGGTCTTGTTTTTTTATCCATTCTGATACCCTATGTCTTTTGGTTGGCGCATTTAATCCATTTACATTCAGTGTTATTATAGAAAGATACGGGTTTAGAGTCATTGTGATGTCTGTATGTTTTATGCTTGTAGTGATGTCTCTGGTACTTTGTCTCACAGCGTCCCCCTTAGGATCTCTTGTAGGGCTGGTTTAGTGGTGACAAATTCCTTCAGTTTTTGTTTGTTTGGGAAGACCTTTATCTCTCCTTCTATTCTAAATGACAGACTTGCTGGATAAAGGATTCTCGGCTGCATATTTTTTCTGTCTAGCACACTGAAAATCTCGTGCCAATTCTTTCTGGCCTGCCAAGTTTCAAAAGAGAGATCAGTCACGAGTCTTATAGGTCTCCCTTTATATGTGAGGGCATGTTTACCCCTTGCTGCTTTCAGAATTTTCTCTTTATCCTTGTATTTTGCCAGTTTCACTATGATATGTCGTGCAGAAGATCGATTCAAGTTACGTCTGAAGGGAGTTCTCCGTGCCTTTTGGATTTCAATGCTTTTTTCCTTCCCCAGTTCAGGGAAATTCTCAGCTATTATTTCTTCAAGTACCCCTTCAGCACCTTTCCCTCTCTCTTCCTCCTCTGGGATACCAATTATGCGTATATTATTTCTTTTTAGTGTATCACTTAATTCTCTAATTTTCCCCTCATACTCCTGGATTTTTTTATCTCTCTTTTTCTCAGCTTCCTCTTTTTCCATAACTTTATCTTCTAGTTCACCTATTCTCTCCTCTGCCTCTTCCATCAGAGCCGTGGTGGTTTCCATTTTGTTTTGCATTTCATTTAAAGCGTTTTTCAGCTCCTCGTGACTGTTCCTTAGTCCCTTGATCTCTGTAGCAAGAGATTCTCTGCTGTCCTCTATACTGTTTTCAAGCCCAGCGATTAATTTTATGACTATTATTCTAAATTCACTTTCTGTTATATTATTTAAATCCTTTTTGATCAGTTCATTAGCTGTTGTTATTTCCTGGAGATTCTTCTGAGGGGAATTCTTCCGCTTGGTCATTTTGGATAGTCCCTGGAGTGGTGAGGACCTGCAGGGCACTTCCTCTGTGCTGTGGTGTATAACTGGAGTTGGTGGGCGGGGCCGCAGTCCGCCCTGATGTCTGCCCCCAGCCCACCACTGGGGCCACAGTCAGACTGGTGTGTGCCTTCTCTTCCCCTCTCCTAGGGGCGGGATTCACTGTGGGGTGGCGTGGCCCATCTGGGCTACTTGCACACTGCCAGGCTTGTGATGCTGGGGATCTGGCGTATTAGCTGGGGTGGGTAGGCAAGGTGCATGGCGGCGGGGGGGGGGGGGGCAGGCTTAGCTCGCTTCTCCTTAGGTGATCCACTTCAGGAGGGGCCCCTCTTCTGTGGGCCTCTCGTCTGCACTTGGGTCTGGCGACTCCGTTCTGCTAATCCTCTGGCGGTTTTCTGGGTTATTTAGGCAGGTGTAGGTGGAATCTAAGTGATCAGCAGGACGCGCGGTGAGCCCAGCGTCCTCCTACGCCGCCATTTTCCCTCGAGCTCCCATGAATTGGTCTAAAATATGGCTGTCAGACCTGAAAGGTCTTCAAATACGAGGTTCTATAACCTAAATTAATTGATTATTTCCTGTTTCTCAGTACAACAGAATCCAAACTCTATGTACTAAATTTACATAGAATAAGGAATGTAATTTAAAATAGTAAATCACTAAACAAGTGAAAATACACATACCTCCCATTTTTGTCATCTTCATGAATAAAGGAAGGCATGGTCTGTCTGCAAAAATCTCACTTTGATGAACAAGGCATTCTTTTACTACATCATAGCCATTTAAAACCACAGTTGATATTCCTCCAAGATCTAAACTGAAGATCTTTAAGAAGAAGAGAACAACAACATGTAAATGGCAAAATGCATGACCAATATAACCATGGAAATCCTCATGTGCTAAGTCCAGCTCTCCCAGCATTTGTTACCTCCCTGAAAACGGAAGGATCTTTTACTCAACTGACAATGGTTTGAATGCCTTCTCTCTACAAGGCGTATCAAACACTATGATTTCATTACCGAGTCAGTGCCTGGAGACATAATCTTATAAATGGTGTAATGAAAAGAGTACTGGGCTCCTGAAGCCTGGGTTCTAGTTTAAGCTTTGTCATTAAACAAATGTAGGACCCTGGGCAGAACGTTTAACCTTTTTGGGCTTCAGGGTTGCCCGAGAAAACATGATACTTGATTTAGATGCTCTTTTAAGATTCATTCCAACTTAATACATTCAATGATATCTAGGGATCTCTTTTTATTTCCAAGATAAATGAGGAAGCAACACCATCTACATATTATTTATTACTCCAAGCTTAGGTAGGGGACGGGGTTACTTGAGAGATAACTTTGAAATATGAACATATTATAACTGGGCTCATTTGTATTTGAGTCCCTGAATTCCATGAAGTCAACAAGGAGGGCCTCTCAGGGAATGTGACCTTGGAGAAAAGGCCTTTACCACATAGGCACAGGTGGATGCCGCTCAGCTAAGGGCAAGGCAAGACAGAATATCCATCCTTTCCTTGCTGGAGTTCCTCAGGTGCTTCACCTCAGGTTCATGTACAATGAAACACCTCTGTAGTCTAGCTAGTCCACAATAAGAGACTAGTCCAGCAAAGGAGCAATGCTACTTTATCAGTGGGGTGCAAAGATTGCTTATCTTCATCCTCTCAGGGCTTGGCTGAGAGCATTTTAGAACCAAAATACTTAGTCAAGCCTCATCTCTGTGCAAATAAGTACAGCAGATTTAACCATGGTTCACATGACTTCGTAAAAAACAAAACAAACAAACAAACAAAACCCCAGGAGGTTTAGCAGAGAACAGAAGTTCAGCGGAAGTAGTTACTGGGGGAAAAAAAAAGTGATGAAACCTCCAAATAATCTCCAAATTGTAACAGAAGCAACCAACTGAGCAACAGAGTCTTTGGCACAGGATAGGTTCTGCCAACTGAGCAGCAGGAACACCAGAACCCTCGGGAAGTAGCATGGACTGTGTGTGACAAGCAGTGGTATCAGTCAAAAGTGGCAGTGTGAGAGTTTCAGCGCAAAGGGAACGGCTACCAGCTGAGCAAAAGGTGGGACTCTTTCGGCTCCCAAAGCAGTAATGGAATGATCTTGAAGTCATCTCCCAGCAGTGTAATTTTAACAGCTATAAAGGAAAAAACACCTCCTGTGTGCCTCCTCTATTCCCAATACTCTCCTATAACACTGTGACAACCAGACGTGAGGGTTTTCCACACCTCAGCAATTCTGGGACACCAGCCGAGTGTCCTAGAATTTAACCCAATTCTGACACTATCCACCTGGAGATAGTGTCAGATCCCACAAGTTAAGGGCTCAGTCCCACAAGACTGCTGCCCATCTCCACTTCGGGTGCCCATCCCAAGTCCTGTGCTTCTGACCAAAAGGCTATTAAGTCAGAGGCTCCCACGACCTCCTCCTTGGATTTGATTAATATGCTAGAGTGGCTCACAGAACTCAGGAACATATTTTACTTACTAGATGAATGGTTTATTATAGAAGGACATAACTCGGCCTATTACAGAAGGACATAACAGCCACGTGGAAGACACACATAGGGCAAGGTATGGGGTAAGGGGAGTGGAGCTTCCATCCTCTCCCCAGGCATGCTATCCATCTTCTGCTCACCTCCACCTGTTCACCAACATGGAAGCTCTCTGAACCCTGTAATTCAGGCATTTTTATGGAGGCCTTATTACATAGACGCGATTAACATGGGCTATTGGTGATGGAATCAACTTCTAGGCCCTCTGCCTTCCCCAGAGGTAGTGGAGGCGTGACTGAAAGTTCCAACCCTCTAATCAGGCTTGTTTCTCCTGGTAATAAACTCCCATTTTAGGGTCTTTCCAAAAAATTACTTCATTAGCATAAACTCCCATGTGGTTGAAAGGGGCTTGTTAAGAATAACAAAAGACACCTTAATCACTTAGGAAATTCCACGGACTTTAGGAAGTATATTCCAGGAAAGGGACAAAGACCAAATATATATTTCTTATTATAAATCACAGTATCACACCATGAAAGAATGGCATTAGAAAATGGGAAAAAAAGCAGACTGGTGATTTCACAGGATGGTAGAAAACCCTGGGATTGAAAAGTGTCTTAATAGGGAGGGAGAACAAACATGAGGGTCATAGTGCAGGGTACAGCTATCTATCAGGTGTGGACACTATGGATTATAAAAACCAAGGAGGAGCCATGGCCTGAGAAGACTGTTACAAAATCCACTTTTCCTCAAAAATGTGGTCCCCTATTTGAGGGTAAAACTGGGGAATTTGTTATTTGAACTGTTATTTGAACTATTCTGTTATATGCTGTTTTCAAGGATTTTTGATAAAGGTTTGTGAAACATTTTCCTTCTCATCTAGAAGTTAGTCTATGAACTTTAAGTTTCTTCCCTTCCCTACAAACCAGCTCTGCCCACAATTTTTCACTGTCTCAGTTAATGACCACTCCATCCACCCTTCCAGCTCTTCAGGACCCAAATTGCCCGTGAGCTGCCCAGGTAGACTCTTATTTTTCTTTCCAGCCCCACATCACTTCTTAGTAGCCATGTTGTTTTTTATTTTCAGAATGTAAACAGTGTATGATAATTTCTTACCCTTCCATCACTGACACTCTAAGCTGTCTTCATTGTCTCCCTATGTTATCATAACAGTCTCTCAACTTGTCTCATAATAGGTGATTCTTGACATGGCATACCCCCACTTCATGGCCTTTGTAGGTGTTCTCTTGGCCTGGAATGTTCTTTCCCTGATTATTCTTATAGTTTAAGCTTTTGCTCAAAGGCCTTCTTTTTTGCAGTGAGGCCTGCTCTAACCCAGTTAAAATTTCATCCCTTAGCATTCTTCCTCTCTCTTGCCTTAATTTAGTTTATTTCATACTCTGTACTCCAGCATATTATTTACTTCACTTATTGTATTTATATTGCCCATCTCCCCCCCCTCTGCTCAGCCCCCAGGAGAATGTAAGCTACACTAGGGCAGGGATTTTTAACAGTTGTGTTTGCACTCTCAACATTAGCCAAATGATGGAAAGAGCCTAAATGTCCATCAACTGATGAATGGATAAAGAAATTGTGGTTTATATACACAATGGAGTACTACGTGGCAACGAGAAAGAATGCAATCTGGCCCTTTGTAGCAACGTGGATGGAACTGGAGAGTGTTATGCTAAGTGAAATAAGCCATACAGAGAAAGACAGATACCATATGTTTTCCCTCATATGTGGATCCTGAGAAACTTAACAGAAGACCGGGGTGAGGGGAAGGGGGGGGGAGTTACAGAGAGGGAAGGAGGCAAACCATAAGGGACTCTAAAATACTGAGAACAACCTGAGGGTTGATGGAGGACTGGGGGAGAGGGGAAAGTGGGTGATGGGCATTGAGGAGGGCATCTGTTGGGATGAGCACTGGGTGTTGTATGGAAACCAATTTGACAATAAATTTCATATATTGAAAAAAAATTTAAAAAAAAAGAAATTTCATAACCACCCTATGGATGACACAATTAAGTTGCACATCATTTTCATTTCAAAGTATAAATTTTCAAATAAATATTTAAAACAAAAAAAAATTTAAAAAATTAAAATTAAAAAAAAAAAAAAACAACAGTTGTGTTTGCTACTATTATCTTCACCCCAGGACAGTACAGAGCAGATGCTGACAATTGTTAAATATATGTTGAATTAATGACTGGCAGTAGAGACATACATTTACGCACACTATTATACAATATCATGGGCGAAGGACTAGGAGGAGAGGTATGTGAAAGTGTCATTGATGAAACATGACTGCCACACACTTTTCTACATCTGCTTGGGTTGTCTTCTCATTTGAGATGCTCCCATCACTGCCATACTGTTCAAACCGTACCAAGTCGTTAGGGAACACCCCCACTGAAGCCTTTCTTGGTGCACTCTCCCTCTCTCTCCCCTCTGAACCACCACAGCACAAGCTGAGATACCTCCGTGGCACTTACTTAATACTATATTGAACCAGAAACCTGGAATGTTCTTGTCTCCTGATTGCCTCCTAAATTATAAACTCCACAGAATCAGGGATTTCATCTTTCATCTTCTGAACCTTCCAAAGAATCTCACACAGTGCCTTGCATGAAAGTCTCAATAAATGCTTTCTGTGTAAATATGTCAATAAGCTGCCAAATCTACTTGTCTTAAAGTAAGGAATTGTTTTATGGTCCTTACATTCATTACTTGAAAATAATCTGTAAAAAATACTTTTACTACCTTTGCTAGCTAAGAAATGTTTCTCAAAATTTTGATTAAGAGTAAAGTCACTGCAGAAGCTTACACATTCAGAGTGAATCTCCAAGGAAATGATACTTCTTGATGTGGTATATTTCCATTTAAGATTACCTTTAAAATGAATGTATGAGACCCCAGTACTGGTTATTTTCCCTTCAAGATTTATAAAAAAAGAACTGAATTCACAGATTACATAAAAGTAAGTGTCACTTGAGGTGACTGTCATTTCTCACATGCAGTTTTCAAGTCCAGGCTTTTTCTGTGAGCACACATCTCCAAATTAAGAAAAGAGTGGAAAAATAAGATTCTATTTACAAATAAGCCCTATAAACAACTTGCACAGCCTCTCAGAAGTGTAAGAGATAATAGTCTCCTCCTACTTTCAAAAAAGGTATAGTATTTTAACAACTTGTACTAATGGTAAGACTTCATCAGAATTGCAAAATACCATAATGCAATGAGAGACCTTTAGGGTGTTTCACAACTAAGATAAAGATCAAATGTTGCCAGGGAGGGTCCAAGACAAAGATATAGGAAGACCT